AGTTACGTGGCCCAGGTAACTCTCCATTCTGAGAATCCACACACCTCACAGGGTGCTGGATAACAACAAACATACATGGGCCTCTAGAGTGGGGCTTCTCAAACTTTAATGTCCATACTAATCACCTGGGTATCTTGTGAAATGCAGATTCGGATACAGGAGGTCTGGACTGGGGCCTAAGGTTGCATTTCTGACAAGCTTCTAGTTGATGTCAATGCCCTGGTCCAAGACTGTACTTTGTGTGGTAAAAGTCTGGTCTAGACTTGAGATTCTATAGCCCATATCCTAGCACAGTGGTTCTCAAAGAATGGTCTCCAGACCAGCAGCATGAGCTGTAACTGGGAACTTGTTAACAAATGCAAATTCTCAGTCCCCATTTCAGACCTACTGGATCAAGTAGGGGTGAAGCCCAGCAATCTGTGTTTTAATGCACCTTCCAGGAGATTCTAACTAATGGATGCTGAAGTTTGAGAAGCAAGGCACTATCAAGATTCACTCACTCAGACAAATTAAAAAATTTCAGCCACTGTTTCCAAACTTTGATCTAATAATCAACAGCTATAGAATCCGAAAGCTCAATGTATCTAACACAAACATAGAGTTTAAAGTTTAAATCCATTCAAAATGTTTTATCTTCATCATCAAGGTAAAACTTCCAAATAAAAATCCTCAGCATTTTTTGACATTGAAAAAGATTAATCCCTTCAACCTTCATTTAAAGATTTGGTTTAATAATATGATCTCTGGGTAATTCCAAAACCCTGAAAGCTGGGCTCTTAGTGCCCAGGTATGGATACCAGGCCAAGGAGCACTGGCGTTCTTGAAGTCTAGGCACAGCTTTGAGCACTTCCAGTGGCTTCGTGGTTCTCTCTGAAGGAAGACACATAGGAAGCTCAGGGTTATCTCGCACAGAAAAATGGTGGACTCAGGAGTCAATTTCTTCTACTCAAATGAAGTAAGTCAGATGGATAACCAACCTCCTAACATGATTGGCAGGATCAATAAAGCTAGTAAGAATCAGACTATCTTCCCAGCATAGGCTGGAAAAACGTCTCTGACCTCAGACCTAGAAGCAAAATTTCCAGAACTGCCAGAACGCTGTTAACTGTCTATCACCTCTGAAAGTGCAAAAGGGCAGGTTACCCCACAGATCACCAGAGAAGGGAGAACCTGGAGCCTGTCCAGGCCACATAACACCACCTGGGATGTCTGTGAACCAGGCCTAGAGCCTTCGTGCCTCCTCTGGTTTCAACTTTCACAACTTGGACCACTTTGCAATTTCAGTTTTAAAAGTAATCTTGGGGAGAAATACATAAACCCCCTGACTAATACTTTTTCGACTATAACTATGCTAATACAAGGCTGTACAGCAATTTGAATAACGCTGACTAATAACATGTTAGACTGCTATAGCCCTTTTCATCTGAGGACCTCAAAGCGCTCTGCCCGTATGACCTCACTAATCCTTGAAATAACTTCTGTGAACTATATGGGAAATACTATTATCTCCATTTCTCAGGAGGAAAAAAGAAAGCATCAGTGAATTGCCCAGGCATCTCTCTGAGCTCACAACTAGCTTCAGGGCTCACAAAGAGCAGGCAGAGAGATTTGGGGTGTTGGCGGGGGTCAGGAAGAAGGAGGATAGAAGAATGACAATCCAGAGAGGAAACAACTTTGACTGTAACTTAAGCAACGTTGCTCATGGAACCAATAGAATTACTAGGAAATAGAATGCCATACCCAGAATTCTAAAAACAGAAAAGAGGATTGACATTTAATGTCATACCCAGTAAAGGAATTTTTGTTGTCACAGTTTTCTTTCCGAATACAAATTTTTATATCTCCATGCTTTGCTTTAGCCTTTGTTCAGGTCAATATGGCTTCAGGGGGACAGGGGACAGGGAGGTCCTTGCTTTATCTTTCCTTATTGCTCATGTTCATCTCGTGAAGTTCTGCCCAAAGGTCAGGAGCTAAGCTTATACTTAAAATTCTCATCCTTAGTTTCCCGATGGTTACTTCAACTTCTTTTTCCCAGTACTGCTTCTGTAATCCACCTTTTATTTATGCAACAATCGCAAAAATTTCCCTAGGGCAATACTGGGAATATTATCAAAAACACCTCAGAGCTCCTCAACTGATAAGTTAACATTTACATCTTTTTAAAATGGTGTGATCGCCTGCTTTCTTTTTCTCGTTCTTTCTTTCCTTCCTTCCTTCTTTTTTCTTTCTCATTTTAAAATGTCAAGGGCTTCCTGGCATGCTTTGGCCATGGAAATGGAACATATTTTCTCATTAGGTTAATTAATGGCTCTGCTTGGGTGGCATAATTTGGTGTAAGTTTCCTTTTAGAATTCTGTCATAACTAAAAAGGATCTTATTTTTGTTATGTTTTGTGGTGTCTTTAAATTTTTATGACTTCTACTTTGTTTAGTCTGTGTGTAATCCTTCTTTTGAAACCTAATGTCCTAGAAAATTTACAGTTTTCTCTCAAAACTGGCACTTTTTACATTTTACAGTGATTCCTGTTTCTTTAGTTCTCACTAGAACTTCATTTAAGTCCTTAAGGTGTAATTCGCAGCTCAGGGAATTTATGATTACACCGTCAAGGTAAACTCCCCAAAAGCAATATATTAAACCTGACAAGATGCTGTTCATTAATCTTTGAAATACAGCCAGGTGTGATGTGGTGAAGTGAGGCTTCCAACTAAGAACAGCTGAAGAACCCCAAGCTGCCCCACTGGAGAGCATTCCTTCCCATCACTGCCAAGGCCGCCTGGGTGGGGACTGAGAGGGCCAAAGGCCTTTCCTTTGCCAACTGTGGTGTTCCCTGTCTCTGCTGGTGTTCCTACAGCTCTGCAGCATCTCACCTTTTCACACATTCGTTCATTCAACAAATACTTATTGACAGCCTACTATGGGCTAGGCACCAAGTGGGCCTGGAAAGACAGTAGTGACCAAAACAGACACAATCCCTCACTTCGTGGAGCTTATAGCTCGTCTTGCTATAAACAAAGGCCTCAAGGCTCCTTTACCCAATACCACCAAAGCTATGTGACACCAACTACATTGCCTGCCTCTGAGGTGTTTCTTCTCTGCCCCAGATGTAGCTTGAATGCAAATGACTTCCATGACCTGGGAGTCAGATTGCAGTACAGCTCCACGAGTGCACCAATAACGGTTTGCATATGGCACTGTGGCGGAGGAGCAGCCAAATCCATCCTGGGGGCAATCAGCACTTGGACAGAAAAGTGGAGTCCAGCTAGTCACATGCAACACTACCTCGAGGACAGCATGGAAAATCCAGAGAGAAGGCAAGACCTCTCCAAACCATTTGTGAGTCTTCCCCCAGATCCTTCTGTTTGCCTACATAAAATAGTGGGATAATGAAATGCAGGATTCTGGACTGGATCCTGGAAGAGAAGAAGAACATAAATGGAAAAACAGGTAAAACCTGTGCAAAGTCTGAAGTTTAGCTAATAGCAATATATCAAAAGTTTCTTAGTTTCGACAAATGTACCATGGTAATGTGGATGTTGACACTGGAGAAACAAGGTGAGGGTCAATTAGGAACTCTCTGTACTATCCTTGCAACTTTTCTATAACTCTAAAACTACTTCAAAATGAAAAGTTTATTTTAGAAAGGTTTGCTTATGAAACAGGATCCTTAAAATGAATAATAAATTGGTTAGAGTGGTGTTATAACACCAAGGTCAAAGGTTTGGATCCCCATACTGGCCAGCCACACAAAAAAATAAATAAAATGAATAATAAAAAGCTACTAAAATAAATCAAAAGCACATAGTGGGCATGGGAAAAAGACATAACTTTTGATGATAAGCTACAAATCTTTCATGAAAATAAGGCAAAATACGTCTAGAAACCCAAAGATCAGAAACTGATATTCTACTAAAAAAAAATTCTCACTGGATTTTTTCCTCTCTCCCTTGCCACTAGAAGTTTGCTTCGTTGGTTTTAATAACTCCTTTTAAGGTATGTGTAAAACAAACAAGTGTGTAGAAGAATAAAGCTGCGTTAAAGAAGCAAGATTCCTATCATTTCATTTATTAACTCCTTGAATACACTTGTTCTTTTGGTCATTGCCATCTTTCCACACACACACACGCACGCACACACACGCACACGCCCCCGATCATTGCTGAAACACAACTAATTTGTCCTTCCCCTTCTGCTCACCCACTCTTCATTTTCCTGCATTTGCCTGGCCATACAGAAACTTCTTTTTAAGCAATAACACGTATGTATGTGTGCAGATTGAATATGTTCCTGGCTTAGAATTACATTCAAGAAGACTTGGCTTACAGCATGTAGTAAGTGATTCCTGTTATGGTTAGACTTTTTACACTGTGGGGTAGTTACACAATACGTGCAATACACACACCCATTTAAATCTTTTCAGGGAGAATTTTCCATTTCAAAATAGAAATAGTGGTGATGAAAGCAGTAATTTTTTTAGCTAGCTGAATGCTTGAAAAGACAATGATTTTATAAACCAAGTGTAAACCTCTGAATAAACTGCTGCCTGCAATAAGGGACTTCCTCAAAGAGCAGAGTTAGCCTTTCAACATTCAAATGGTGCCTTGTTTAAGTGGAAATATCCCCATACAGGGAAACAGCTCATAGAATTAGAATATTAGATCTGGGAGGATTCTTAGAGATTATCTAATATAGTTTTATTTTATTAAAGATGAAAAAAACTGAGGCATAAGGGCCTCTGCCTTATTCAGGGGTTTATCGACTGAGCTGAGCTCAAAACCATATACCAGATGCCAGCCCCACTATCTCCTCCTTGTGCCAAACTGGCTCATGGTCCTGAGGTCCAAGCTCTGGAGGTTTTAATGTGAATACACAACATGTTTGTTTTGTGTTCCATAACTTCCTTCTTTAAATGAAATGGCGTGTGCAGACAACTGGGAAGTACCACACACACGTCATTTGTAATTGTTGCTGATATTACTACTATTATTACTATTGTCTACATTGAGCTATAAGAGAGATGCATGCAAACTCTACCAAGTCTGCTGTGGAGAGGTGGGCAACCTGTGCAAGGCGACCACCGTCTTCTGCTCTGTCCCTTCTGATTCCACTTCGTTTATGTGGAGTCCTCTGTTCTCTTCAAGAATCTGCTTTTTAAAATTCCTTTCCTTCTTTTGGACTCGCTCTCTTTTTAAATATATATAAGCCAACAAGGCGGACTCGCTGAAGAACAACAGAGCCCAGGTTTCTAGAAAGGCTCTGCAAATAGGAAGTAAAACCACATCACACCATTCATCTGCCAAAAGTAATAAAGCCAGGCAGCTTCAGCGCCCTCCTGACTTCGTCAGCAACGAATGCTCCTCGTCTTTCCCCTTCCTTGCAAAGGAAAGGGAAAAACTGCCAGGCAAAGAATGCCAGGCCAATCAAACCATGGGAAAAATAACACCTTCAAACTCAGGGCAAAATTCTCCTTTCCAGTCCTTGATGCAGATGTCCCATCGGTATGCTTGGCAGCAAACGCTACTCCTGGAACAAGAGGCAGAATAACACCTTCAAACTCAGGGCAAAATTCTCCTTTCCAGTCCTTGATGCAGATGTCCCATCTGTACGCTTGGCAGCAAACGCTACTCCTGGAACAAGAGGCAGAACACAGGTGAGAGAGCAGATTTGGGCCAGAGATGGTTGGTTAAATTTTAATTCATAGTCGTAAAGCCTGAGGAATCTCACTAAGATTTATCTTCATGAAATAATCAAAACAAATCCATATACGAGATATTTCCTTAGCTATCTTTAAAAAATATCTCCTGATTTCCCATAAATTATTTTAATTAATTATTCCCCAAATCAGTCAGTCTGTGCTTATCATTAGCTGGTAGAGAAAAAAAATAAAAAACTCAATATTCAGTATTCCAGTATTTGCCTTAAGAAGAAATTTCTGTGGGAATTCCAGCCTTGAAAGCCATTCTCAATTCTTTCCTTTATTCCCACCTGAATCCAACTGCTTCCTCCCTTCCAAATCGGTAGAGGATCATTTGAAGACAAGTGAAAAAGCCCACCTTCCTAATGTTGGCTTTTGTTTTTCTAGTCACCACGAGCAGCAACTGAGAGACACAAAAAACAACAACAAAAGAACTTGTGATGAAAACACCCTTTCTGAAATATAGAGCTTTGAATAAAAAAATCAAGAAACTTGGATTTTTTTTAAGGTGCATAATGTGGGGGGGTGGTTATTTTTATTTTTTGAATTGTAAATTGACAAATTACAGTTCTATATATTTATGAGGTTCAGAGTGATGTTATGATTTATGATTACAATGTAGAATAACTAAATAAAGCTAATGAACATAACTATCACCTCAAATACTTATAGTTTTTTGTGGTGAGAACATTTGAAATTTATTCTTTTAGCAATTTTCAAATGTACAATACATTATTAATTACTATGCTCCTGACAGTGTGCAATATGTCTCAAAGTAAAAAACAAAACAAAACAAAACAAAACCGTCCTGTCTGAGATTCTATATCCTCTGACCATCATCTCCCCATTCCTCACCCTTCCCAGCCTCTGTAAACACCATTCTTCTCTCTTTTTCTTTGAGTTTGACTGTATTAGGTTCTAAATTTGGAATATATGTCATAGTTGTCTTTCTGTGCCTGACTAATTTCACTTTGCATAATATTCTCCAATTCCATCCATGTTGCTGCAAATGACAAAATTTCATTCTTTTTAAGGCTGAATAGCATTTCATTGTATATACACCACATTTTCCTTATCTATTTATCTGTTGATGGACACTTAGCTCGATTCCATAAAGACACATGGATTTTAATCCCTGTTCTGCCATGAGCTCACTGTGTGTCATCTGTGGCTTCTCAAACTCCTTCTGGGTCCTCCAACGTACCCTTTCAGTAATAAGAGTTGTCTCTTCCAGCTTTAATATTCTGATTTTACTATCCCTGAAATTAGACTTCTATCAAACTAACAGGAGTACATCAATATCTTCAAAAATGTCTGTCTCGTATGGAGAAAGGCACATGCTTATATCTCTTGAGATGGGTATTAAAGGGGGGAAAAAGAGTTCTATAACTGGAAAAAAAAATTTTCCTGATTAGAGCACCACTCAGGTTTTTACCTGTCTCCCATTCCCCAAATATTGTCTTTAACTGCTATTTTCTCTACCCAGGGTTTCTTCCAGGAAAGAGTGCAATCAGCAGAAAGCTCAAATGCATCTAGGGAATCTTTTTCTACAGTGATTAAAAATTGACCAAGAATATAATATTTTGGAAGCATGGCTTTATAGTTAATTCTTATTTTGAAATAGATTCCACCATTGATTGTGGATGGAAGGAGCTAGCATGCATTGAGCCCACACTTTGCATCTGAACAAATGCTATGTTTAATATTCATTGGCTCATCTAATCATCACAACACCAAAAGAGAGATATTAATATCTCCTTTTACAGAGGTAGAAAACCAAGGAACAGCAATCCCACTTCTGGGTGTATACCCAAAGGAATGGAAATCATCATGTCAAAGGGATACCAGTACTCGCATGTTCACCACAGCTCTGTTTACCATAGCCAAGATATGGAGCCAACCTAAATGCCCATTGATGGAAAACTGGATAAGGAAAATGTGGTATATATACACAATACAATTCTACCCAGACATAAAAAAGAATGAAATTCTGCCATTCGCAGCAACATGGATGAGCTTAGAGAAAATTATGTTAAGTGAATAAGCCAGGCACAGAAAGAGAAATACCACATGTCCTCACCCATAAGTGGGAGCTAAGACAGACCACAATAAAAGTTGAACTTTCAGGAGCAAACAGATGTATAGTTACTAGAGCTGGGAAAGGGGGGTGGAGAGGGGAAATAGGGAGTAACTGGGTAAGGGACACAAATAATTACAATTTGTGATGATGAACCTGCTAATAAAATTGATATGATCCTCACATACTGTACACAAATACTGATAGTAAATTCTACCCCATAAATATGTATAATCAATTATGTTTCAATTCAAAAATTAAATTTAAAAAAAAGTGAATATATGCATAAAGATTTTTTTCTATTATAATTTTTTAATACAAGTGACTTCAAAGAAAAAATAAGATAACATGTATAACCATGCATTTGTGAAATATATGGCAAAAAAATAAAAATAAAAAGGATGAAGCAGTAAATGGGGAAAAAAGAAAAGAAATACAAGGTACGAAGAAGTTTAATAACCTGTCCAAAGTCACATATATAATAAATATTAAAACAGAAATTTAAACAAAATGTGTCTAATCCCAAAGCCTTTTCTCTACAAAATATCAGTGCTTTGTCTCCTAGAAAAGATTTAGCTTATTAATGGTATCTAAGTTAAATTTTCTTTCTGAAGACAAAGTGCATACGGAGTCATGTAATTGTAACACTTTATTTAAACTGTCAAGCACAAACTATTGGATTTGGTGGGTGGGTACTAAAATAAATTCAAAATAAGGGAGAAAAGAATATTCTTTTGTTACAAGTTACTAAACCGATGTACATCTCCCTTATGAAGATTCGCCAATGTTTCAAAAGTCAACAGACTGAGAAGTCTTCACACTCGTTCTTTTCAAATAATATCTCCTAGCAGTGCTGGCTTCCACCCAGAGAGTTTCAAGAGGCAAAAGACAGGAAGAAGCGTGGCTGGCAGGGTCAGAGGCATGCCTAGAGTATAAAGGCCACCGAAGGGAAAATCAAAGAATCATCCCAGGTACCTTTGTTTACAGCCACGACAGACTTTCTGAAGTTTCCTGTCTGGGATTAAACTCCCCAAACAACCCCTCGTCCTGTGTTCCCCCCATCCACATAAACACACCACTTACTTCTCTCCACCTTCCTATATCTGGCAAAACCAGGGGATGTGAGAGGGAAGAGGCAGGACAGACTTTCTGAAGTTTCCTGTCTGGGATTAAACTCCCCAAACAACCCCTCGTCCTGTGTTTCCCCCATCCACATAAACACACCACTTACTTCTCTCCACCTTCCTATATCTGGCAAAACCAGGGGATGTGAGAGGGAAGAGGCAGAAGGAGCTTCCAGGTGTCCTGCTCCCAGGGATTAGAACAGCTCAGGTTACGTCTCATCACCATCCCACCCATTTACTTGTTCATCACTCACCCTGACAGGTGCACCCTGCACCTTTGACTGTCTTCATAGGAGGTGTTTATAAATAAGAGCACCTGTGTCTGAAAGCCAGACATTCACAGGAGTGGCCAAGGAGACAATGGATGATATACAATCAATTTGGGGTGTATCTGTGCTGTACTGTTCCAGAAGCTGCATCTGCACTATGTAGACTTCTGTGAGATTTTGTATTGAGAGAGAGAAACGGACTCTGTTTTTGTAATGAAAATACATCTGCAAACCTGTCACATTCTACAGCAAGTGAACCAAAGGTAAACATTTAATAGTACTTGGAATTCTACCTCTTCTCCATTAAGAAAGGTTAGAACATGTTGGTTAAATGAAGCTTGGCTGAAACTAGATTCTTCTCCAAACACAAAAGGAGGTTGTAATTTCAAGCATTTTCTTCCTTGGATTTAATCATGAATATCAAGTACTGGTACCCAAGTGCCAGAGTAACAAACTAAAGACCACCCACCAACTTAATTTCAAGGGCTTATTTCATGTAACTCAAGCTCCAGTTATCTGAGAGTGTGTGATGCTATTCACAACTGTCCATAACCAAACCCAAAAGGGTTTATGGCAATTTGACCTTTTCATTTGTCCCCAGTTTATTTTCAGATAGCTGGGAAAATATTTTCCACTTGTATTTGATGACATGATTTTAAAAGCATCTTGACTAATTTTTCAATTAGCCAGGATCATCCCAAATGCCATTCACATTGAATCTAGAGCCAAAGAGGCCAATATTATGTGATGAAAATTTAGCAAAACATAATTTGGACCCAGTGAGCCATAAGATCTGAATTCAAGGAAGCAATTGACTTTCTCCTAGATTTGTAGTATTTGCCACACCTTAATGCATTCTTTTTACTTCTTTTTATGTTTCTATTCAGGTCCAAACCCTCCAACCCTCTCCCACCAGCACCAACAGTTCATCTTTCTCCCTTGCCATTTTAGATGGAAATTAAAGGTTCTATCTTTTGTCATTCCAGTGTCTACAGTATACCCCTCTCTTCTCCTGAAAACAAGAAACCACAGATGTTTCAGTGAAAGATTTGTGATTAAAATCATATCTGCAATTAGGACATGATGTCAAAAGTAAAAACTCATTCTTAGTGCATTGTTTTCCTGAAAAGACAAACTGCATTATGAGAAGGAATGTGGGCAAGGTAATCACGGTGACCCAGAGAGATAAGAAAGTTAAACCTCTTGACCTGAGTCAAACGTTGAAAATTCTAACTTCTCTGGGACACATTTGCAACATTGCTTAAAAGTCCTGCCACCTAGTGGAAGAAGGAAATAAAGGAGACGTCATGTAACCTGCCAGATGGAGAGACCCTTAGAAAAACAGCTCCTCCATAACTAAGACTTCCCCTGAAAAATCACATTGGGTTAGCTTCAGAACTGATTTTCATAAAGTGTGAAGATTACTCAAAATAGGTAATTTTACTCTTTTCTATTTAAATGTGTCACATCCAAGACAGCAAAACCTTGAGTTCAAGCCCTGAAAACTACAGGTGGAATCCACAAACAGCTTATGATAATTGTTTTGTTACTCTGCTTTGGTTGACAATTTTCAAAATGGGTTCCTCAGAGTTAAGAAATAAACTAAATCCATACCAGCTTCTCCTTATGGAGGGCACTTAACTAGACACTTCCTCCTCCAAAGGCTCAGCAGGAGGACTCTTCATAGAAGGGATTTCTTTAGTTGGCTAAAGGAAAATATTCTGCCTGAACAGGAAGGTAGTTCACTGGTGGCCAGACCTCACAGAAAGCCGCTAAGTTTCTAAGAAAACTTCCTGATGAGTCAGGCTAAGAAGAAACTTCTCAGAAAGGCTTTGGTAAAATTCTATTCTCGAGCAGGATCTATGATGAATTCTGGTCTCAAAGTTACCAACAGATGTGTTATGACAGCAATCAGTTCTTCAGTGACCTGAAG